AAACCAGACACTGGACTATGTGTCAACGAGAACGCTCGGCCTTCAAGGGGGGTGGATTGTGAGATCCCACATTGGTTGGAGGGGGAAATAAAGTATTTCTTATAAAGGTGTGGAAACCTCTCCCTAACAAATACGGTTTAAAACTATGAACCCAATGACGATACCTAACGAGTTAAAACGGACAATAACTGATAGCGGTGAGCTTGGACTATTACAAAAGGTATTAAAGACAGACACCGGGCAGTGTGTTAGCGAGGACGCTGGGCCCCGTAGAAGGTGGATTGTGAGATTCCACATCGGTTGGAGAGGGGAACAAAACATTCCTTACATAGGTGCAGAAACCTCTCCCTAATAGATGCGTTTTAAAATCGTAACGCTAACAGCGATACGTAATGGGTCAAAGCAAACAATATCTACAAACGCTTAGGCTGTTACAGAACTTGTCAATACATCACAGGAATTTTAAATCATCAAGCACAGAATGATTATCAACCCAACAAAAGACAACATAAACTACAGCTAACTGCATACCTGATCACCATCCTTGATGCCTAATTTTGCAATATAGCCCGTATCATCAATCAACTTCTGACCATCATAGCATAAGCAGAAATGGCACCACACATGGAGCCTCCATGAATAAATAAAGAACAGAAACAAGTTAAAATATGCTTTCTTACCCTCTCCAACCAATGTAGGATCTCACAATCCATTCCCCTTCAAAGCCAGCATCCTCGCTAGCACTTGTTCCTTTCCAATCGATATGGGATTTCATAATCCACCACCCTTTAGGGTTCAGCATCCTTGCTGGCATACCGCTCGGTGTCCATCCCCTTAGAGCTCAACGTTCTTGTTGGCACATCACCTGGAGTCTACTCCCTTCGAGGCTCAGCATTCTTGCTGACACACCGCCCAGTCCATCTTGTAGCAAATGAAACCATCAAATGAGAAAGAATTAAATGAACTAACCATGAAATCTTTCCTGGTCCATCTTGTGGCATGTCGCTGAAGACTGCCTCCACTGCCCCCTTTAATTCAGCAACAGTAGCAGATCTCTTAACTCGAATATCTGTGTCAAAACATCTCAATTCATTGAAGTCCTAGATTAAAAGATGGTGCACGAAGACATTCTTATTTTTCAAATTTAGCGCATCAGTTTATATACTTCGTTGTCAAATAAGAACATTTCAAGCAAAAGAATGATAAGAATCACGACCCTCCACAATGGTATGATATTGTCTATTTTGAGTATAAACTATCGTAGTTTTTCTTTTAGTTTCTCTAAAAAGTCTCATACCAATGAAGATAGTATTCTTACTTATAAATTCATGATCTTCCTCTTGATTAACGATGTGGGACTACTTTTCTCAATAATCCTCAACAATCATCTCCTCGAACAAAGTACATCATAGAGCCTCTATTGAGGCTTCTTTCTCTCGAGCTTTCAAATAGTCCCTCCTTAATCAAAGCTCGAGTCCTTCTCTAGAGCCCTCAAACAAAGTATACCCTTTGTTCGACACTTGAGTCACCTTTGACTACACATTCAAGATTTACAACTTCCTTGTTCGACACTTGAGGATTCTATTGGCATGTCTAAGTTAAAGGCATACCATGTTAGAAATCACAACTCTCAACAATGGTATGATATTGTCCACTTTGAGCATAAGCACTCATGGTTTTTTTTTTTTTTTTTTCTTAAGAGGCTTCCTACTAATGGAGATAGTATTCTTTACCTATAAAACCAACGTAGAACGACTACTTTTCTCAATAATCCTCAATAATATAAGAAACACAAAACCAACCAAACACCAGATAAAGAATAAAAGGAGGAAAAAAACAGAGAATAGAACAATATAGAAACCTTCAACATCCTCAAAATCAGATGAACACAATAAAACCAAAACCAGAGATTCCTCTGCTCTTAATTATATAAAAAAACGAATCGATTACGGAACCAAAGATTACCAAAACAAGAGCCATCCAATTTAAGGACGGAGAGTTCGAGAGGCTGATGCGGAAGCTGCCGATACAAACCACTCTTCCTCGAGAACCCAACAATCATCAAAGAAGACAAAAGCAGCGAGAATGACCGGCGACGCTTCTCGACCACCGGAAGCGGCGGAAAATCGGAGACATCGAGTGTGCAAACGCCGTCGATTGCCATGGATTTGGGAGACGGGAGAGATGCTTAGATTAAGGAGAGATGAAAATGGCGATGGAGAATGTGAGAGTTGGAGCAGAGTTTTAGGGTTTGGCTCTTTTTCTTCTTGAGAGAGAGTTGCATTCGGAGCTTCTGTCGGAGGCAATTCCTCAAGGTTTTTTTTTTCTTTTTTTTAATTGACTTTTTTCTCTTCTTTTCGTTTCTGCCTCTGGTACGGTCGTGGAGATGATGGCCGTTATTTCTGGGTTACGTGGCGCTAACTGTTTCAACCGGCTTTAACTGCCTCTCCCTCTGAAACGATGTCGTTTAAGTTTAATATCTTTAAATAAAATAATTCAATAATGTCCATTTTTTATTTTTTTTTGGCCATTATATATATATATATATATATACACGCCAAATTCTTCTAAACATTAACCTAAGTAAAAAAATTCTCGTAAAAATAAATTACTTTGATAGATTTGTTCGTCAATTAGAAAGCCTTGAGAAATCAATCAAACAATAACTTTATATGTGATTATACGTATCTGTGTAAGCCATGTACGAGAGAGTAACATAAGCACCTCATTTGATCATGGTGGATCCTCGGAGGAGCTTCTCATTGCTTTTTCTCTTCACAGTTGTGTGGAGGATCCAACATTGGCATCATCGAATTATTCTCTAAATTTGCAGCCTTCAACGACATCTTTGAGCTCGCTTTCTCGGTAAGACAGAGAAATGGGTTAATATCGAGATTTGGCTGAATAACACATCGATACGAACTACAAAAACTACTTGATAGTCACTAGGTTAAGGGAAAGTAAGCAAATAAGAAACGAAAAGAATCAATTTTGGACTCGAGTTGACTCATTTGTTTCGATTGAATATTCTTCATCGTTCGTTGTAATAGTAACATTAAACGAATCTATCACTATCTAATAAAAACGTCATTAGATTACATCTGTCGTTTTGAATAATTTCTCCAAGCAAATGATTCAATTCACGAGTATGTTAACACGATGGATCAAGGTAGTGTTTGATGTGAGAGTTTGAAAAGATCCCGACAAAAAAAAGGTCCCACTACTCGTATGTGTTCCAAATACAATGGATCGGGTAGGGTTTCATGCAAACGTATCAATACCGCTCAAGATTTGATGGTCTTTTTCAGCCAAGGATTACATGAACATAAACATTTTCATTTCCTACCCTACAAGTAAGCCCTTTCGCCACCATTAATTATGGTGGATCTTTTGTGTCGTCGATCTCACTTTTTATATCTGAAGTTTTTTTCAAAACCGACATTATGGTCAAAGACTCGAAGATCGGATAAAGATATCTGAGGCGTTGTCGTTGTCTTAACACAACTGATTTCGCTACAACCTTGTGGGCAACCACGATGATTAAGAAGAACATTGTCGATAAACAGAGATTCGAACAGATGACTTTGAGACCTTTTTATTTTGATTGGTAGATTCGAACGAACTGTCCATACACCGGATTCTTACACGATAAAGTTCTTAACAAAATTTATAAATCGAAAATTATTTGAAAAAAATAGTATAAATCGATTTACTTATCAAAATTTAATACTTAATTTGGACTGATTTGTATAAACTTTTTCAATTACCAACAATTGAATTTCAGTTGAGAACTTTCTTGATGCGGAGAGATCAATCAAACGGGATCCGACCTAATCAAATGTCTCCGAGAAGAAAAAGATAAACGAACAATGATTGAGCACAAAGGAAAAAAGGTTTGGTGTTCATGTGATCTCTTCACGATATTTGAAGAAATATTTGAAGAAATTCGGATTACATATATTCCTTTCTTCTAGGGCTTCCAAAATGTGTAACAAAATCAATGGCGGATTGCGATCGAGCTGTACAATATGCTTCTCCTGCAAATGCCAGCCTTTCCTGTCAGTAAACATCCTTCTGGGGTCTACTAGGGTTCATCCATGCGGGCTTCGACATCGACACGACCAATCCAATCGCTTCGGTGTCTTCAATGGCCGCTCGTTGCCGAGGACACCAGTTTCCTTGCCATGGTTTTGAAGGTCACGTGGACTTCAATTGGACTTGCTCGCTTGGTTCTAGACAACTTCTTGCCCTGCTGGCCTACGCTTTTCGCTTGGAGCCAGCTGCAAGGTAAAGATCTCTGAACATATACCAAACGTATGCATGGTGTTTGTTAAAATGTCCAAGACAAATCTGTGACCTTTATTTCTCTCTTTCTTCTATTATGTGTAGAAGTAGAACTATACTCCGACAAAGGGAATCGTTTTTTTTAATTGGGGAAGACAGAATGGAACTCAAGTACGAAAATTATTGAGGTGGATGAACTCATGAAGGGAATGTTTTAGTACACCCATTATCATGGAACTTTGAATATCAGAGTTCATGCATCATGACTCATTTTGACAACATTTCGCTGATTATTTGGACTTGTTTAAACCGCCCAAGTCCATCGACAATAGATATGGTTCTCTTTGAGCCTTTTCTTTAGTGCTTTCCCTCAAGTTTTTAAAACGCGTCGGTTAGGGAGAGGTTTCATTCCCTTATAAAAAATGTTTCGTTCTCCTCCCCAACCAATGTAGGATCTCACAATCCACTCCCCTTCGGGGCCAACGTCCTTGTTGGCACACCGCCCCGTGTCCATCTTCGAAGGGGCTTAGCCTCATTGCTGGTACATTGCCTTGTGTCTGGGTCTAATACCATTTGTAATGGCTCAAGTCCACCGTTAGCCGATATTGTCTTCTTTGCGCTTTCCCTTTCGGACTTTCCCTCAAGGTTTTTAAAACGCGTCTACTAAGAAGAGGTTTTCACATAAAGAATCTTTCTTTCTCCTCCCAACTGACATGAATCTCACACATAAGTTATGTGTTAATCCCAAGAAAATGGCCCGTATAGAGAAATGGAAGGTTTTAGATGTTTAACTTTTGGGTTTGATCAATTTTCTTCAATGCAATCTGCTCTTAGTCGTCTCTTTCATGATCTAACTTCAAAAGTTGATGATAGTTTAAGCATATCATGCGTATGCTGTTGAGATCACTTTGGAAACTACTTAATTGGTCTCTTCTGTCCCAATAGAGTATGAAGAAATCAAGTCCATATTACAGAAGAAGAAGATGCTGGGATTTGAATACCCTTAATGTTTGTTTATATTTAGAATTTAATCGTGTTTTGAAGTGTAAAGCATGGATAATCGAGCATCAAGGACTTTGCTGAACTAAGTTAGGCGCTTGCCCTACTTGATTTATGATATGTTTCCACAGAAATGACCACCAGACCAAAACTTTCATCCATTTAGTAGTATATTTCTATGAACGTGTCCATGTCATTGCCTTTCTTTCAGCAGACCCAACTGCCATTGTTGTCTCTGTCTCTGTCTCTCTCTCTCGCCCTACCCAGTTGTCGTCTCCCTCACTCTCTTATCCACATTGATACACATATAAATAATCCTAAGTTGCAAACAAAACTACCCATTCGATTCACTGCTGGTGCTATCATCATCCCATTTCTTTTGAATTATTTGAAAACAGGAGAGATTCTAATGGAGCTTCAACTTGCGCTAGCACTTTATGTTCCTGATCGCACCAGAGGCTTCGACCTGAACAGAAATGCATGTGATAGAGATGTGTTTGGTTCAGATCCGAGGAGCTGTGTGTGTGAACAAAGCACGAGCCATGGTAGACACAAGCGTGGCTTTGAAGATGCTTTCTTTAAGTGCAAAGACTCGTCTAAAGATCTGTCTTTGCTGCTGTGGAGCGATCGCTCTAACAAGGAAGATGATGACAGAAAGGACACCAACCATAGAATTTCCTGTGCTATACACATGTGAGTTTCATTTATACAACGATTTTCCTTCAATTTTAGAATGTTATTATGCTGGTAGGAGATTTGAACCTCGATTCATGAGGCTAGCCACCGGTGTCTAACTACTTGAGTTATGTTTAGATTGGCTCGTAAATAGCCGATATTCATCAACTAAGCAAACATGTTTAGATGGGCCAACTTTAAATAGAGTACAAACAGAACTCTAAGGCTAGGATGCAGTTTGTTCTGTCAATAAGCATCTAGTAGATATTCATCAACTAAGCAAACATGTTTAGATGGGCCAACTTTAAATAGAGTACAAACAGAACTCTAAGGCTAGGATGCAGTTTGTTCTGTCAATAAGCATCTAGTAGAGTTGTTTTCAAATTTGCTACAGCATCATGGTTCAGCATAAATATAGCATCATGTTTTATCATAAATGTTCTGAAATTTTATTCAGTAACTCTATGTACAATTAGGCTCGATTTATGCAAATTGATATTCTTTTTGGGTTGAACCACACCAGACTATTTTTATGCGTACTAATTAGAATAAATTGAGCAATTAATGAGAAAATGGTTTGTATGAGTGCCAAATTAGCTACAAAAAGGCTCCTGTTATCATCTGATGATTTGGTTCGGTTTTTCAAAACAGTAATGTTGGAGAGGAGAACAAAGTTGTAGGGTGGCCACCCATTAAATCATGGAGGAAAAGGCACCTGCATCAGCTGCAACAGGACAGGCTCGGTTCTGATCAGACACACAATCATTATTGGATGGAAGACAATGAAGACGATGGAATCGTTTTTAACCCAAAATATGTGAAGGTGAAGATGGAGGGAGTGGCAATAGCTAGAAAGATTGATGTGGGGCTGTATAGCTCTTATCAGACGCTGAAAACTGCCTTGATCAACATGTTTTCCAGTTCTTGCTGTGAGTGAACAGTTACTGATTTCAAAGTTATTTGTGAAATCTTACCCAAATTTCAGTAACTTAACAAGTTGATATCTTCTTATGAGCAGATCAAAAGTGTGGGTATAGCAATGACAGCTTGACTCTCACCTATCAGGACAAAGAAGGAGATTGGATGCTTGCAGAAGATCTTCCATGGCAGTAAGCACTCTTTCCTTCATCTCTCTCTTGCTAAAAACATTGACAAAATACCACAAATCTGAGCTGAAAGATCCAAAATTCATGTTCTTGACAAAGATTCTCATATGTTTGAATCATTAGAACTTAGAAGTAAACACCATGAACTGATGATTAGATTCTAAACATTAGAAATGATGGGTTTACAGGACTTTCCTAGAGTCTGTGCAGTGCATGAAGATTATAAGAAGACAATCATCAAACTAAGGGAAGAAATGTTTAAGAAATTACTGCCTTTTCTTTTTAGTTCCTCTCATATCATTTCTGAGTAACGAGCTATGTGATAATCCAAATAAAGGGGAAGGGTTTAGTTCATTATGTTTGTCTGGTGGTATCATTTGCTACAAGATTGATGGAATTAGATTCAATTTTAACTGTGTTGTCTGCTGAAAAATAGATCAAATTATTGCTGCCTTTTCTTTTTACTTCCCCTCATATTATTCCTTTATTATTATTGATATTGGATGCTACTTAAAACACTTGCTTGATAGGAACATTTTTCGGCCCATTTTAGGTATTTATTGTCCTTGTTTTAAATTTTATGTCTAATAAGAATTTGATGTGTTTAATATTTTTAAAGTTTTGAGTATATAAATTTATTTAATATAAATCTTAAAACACCTAAATTTGATACAATAAGTTTGGAGGTAAAAATCTGCCACGTGTGATATCTGTAAAAGGGACCCATATAATACAATATTCCAAACTTGTTTATAAGCATCGAGGCTTTGGTCCTTCTGATACTCTAATCAATTGCCACGTGTCATTATTTATTATTATTATGGCTTAAATGTTGCTGACGTGGCGTCTATATCTTTGTCAAAAGGTATTATAAAAAAGTGAAAAAAAAAAAGAGAGAGAGAATAATCCACCTGTGCTCTGCTGTACTCAACCACGTTATTGGGCCGGTACTTTGAAGGCTGGCCCAAAAGAATAATCCTGAACTGCCTGATTTTTCAGCCCACCATTATTGGGCTTGAGCTGGAAAGGATGGCCCAAATATATTGAACTAAATTTTGTGTTAGCAAATTGCAAAAAAAAAAAATAATAATAATATACGGAATATTGCTTATTTATACTATTATTTTGGAGAATTACGGGTTTGAGGGTTAGCTCGACATTCAAGCCCTCGACTTATAGTCTTTCGAAACACGTCGAAAACACAGTTCCTAAACTCAAACTTACGAAAGATTCGGAACGTGCACCGAAAAAGTGTGAAAAGTTTAAGTTCAACCTATTAGTCACTACAATCCACATCATTATCCAAAACCCAGAAGCTCCAAAGAAAAATACAAATCCATTCCATGCCATTGCCAACCAAGAGCACAAGAACAAGAACAAACAAGCTTGCCTATTGCCAAGAAAGAGTCCCAACTCCAAGTGCTTTTTCCCTTTACCCCCTTTGAAAAGTGGTTCAGGAGGGCCAGGGGGGTAGGCAAAGGCAGGGCAGGGCAGGCAGGGCAGGGCAGGGCAAGGCAGGGCACGCAAGCAAAGGCACTGAAACACTGCAGAGAGAAGCTTAAATGAGTCCACTGACAGTGACAATGCCCTCTCATTTCTCCCCCTCCTACCCCTACACCAACTCTCCCTTTCTCCTTGAGAGAAAATGACCAATGCCTCCTTTGGAAGCCACCATCCGTTTCTGTGGGGGACACTCTAAACCCTTTAATTCCCTTCCCTCCCTCCCACCAAAATTATTGCCCTTTTCTCTCTCATTCTCCCAATGTTCTTCAGACCCCCACCCACCCTCCCTTTTCTCTCTTCTGTTTATTTGGCCATGATTCTCCACACCCCTTTTCCCAAACTCCATAGCTGCTGCCCATTTTGGAGCTTCTCTCTGCCAGGATGCCCCCAAGACAAGGCTCTAGGCCTTTTGAATGTGTGAGAAGAGCTTGGCATTGTGAAAGACATCAACCCATTAGAGGTTCTCTCATTCAAGAGATTTTCAGGTTCATTTTTCCCCCCTTTTCCTTTTGAGTATGTAGCTTGTGTTCTTGTTTCTTTTGGTTGAATATTTGATCTGGGTTTTGTGGGTTTTGTTGGGTTTTGTGGGTTTAGGGTTGTGAGTCAAGTTCATTGCCCTGCTACCAAGAAGAACAAGGAATGGCAAGAGAAACTCCCCATTGTTGTTCTTAAAGCTGAGGAAATTCTGTATTCTAAAGCTGATTCTGAGGTTAGGCCCTCTCTATTTCCATTCTTGAAGCTATCTGTTCCTTGTTGCTTGGTGCATGAATGCCATGTTATTCTGGAAAAACTTGACAAATTATTTCACCTGAAGCTTCAAAGTGTTCTATAGATCCCTATAGTTTATAATTTCAAAAGGTTATAAACTAGTTTGAGTAACCAAAGCTATGGAAGTTCATAGACCAAAATAAGCTCACACTGTTCATCTTTGTGCACCTGCCACAGGCTGAATACATGGATATTACTACACTATGGACCCGAATAAACGAAGCGATTAATACGATCATTCGGCTCGATGGGGACACCGAAACTGGGGAGTTTCTTCATCCTTGTATTGAAGGTAACTGCAATTTTTACTTGTTATTTTGTTTGGGAACAGCTTTTGTATGTTTGTCACTAAGTACTAGATGGAACTCTGTGATTGCCATCCCTATGCCTATGGTTATCAATATATAGGCAATTGCCAATGGAACTCTGTGATTTTGTGCAATAGTAGGATAGTATCTGAAACTTAGCTTGAAGATTATTGGTTTTACTTTGAATGTTTTGTTCTACTTCCTAATCTTTTGTAAAACAAACTTTGTCAGCTGCTCTCTATTTGGGTTGTACGCCGAGAAGATCGTCGAGGAGTAACCGAGGTAGTAACCTGAGGGGCTACCTTACTTCCTGCTCTCCACAAGTCCTAGAAACATCATCTCACTACATCAACATCATTAGACCAGCTGTTTTGAGCTCATCTTGTACCATACCTGATGCCAGACCGAAAAGCCAAATCCATGTCGGTAATCCCATCGGAGTTAGCACGAACTCGAAATCCTCAACCGTATATAAGAACATTTGGCCATCAATCAGTAACCAACAGTTCCTTACAGAGACTGTTTCAGGATGGAACATGTTTTCTTTGTGTCCATTGTACAATGGAAGCCATCAGCACGAGCCCTGTATCAATATGCAACCTATGCCCCTCTACAACGGTCCAAGTTTCTCTGTTCCAGCTCCGTTTAAGTACTTCCATTCCAGTGAGCTGATTGCTACAAGGAACAACAAAGTTGATTCTGTTAATACTCTTCACGAGCAACAGAAAACAGCCTGCAATCTATCGTTGCGGTTGGGTCCTCTCTCCATTCCACATCCAAGCATCAACAACGGTCGATCCAAGTCGATCACAGACATCGGTGCTAACGACTCTCAAAACCAGATAATGAGTTCTTCCGGTCACCCGTTCCAACTAGACAAAACGCTTCCTTTCTTTCCTCTCCATGTTACATTAGATTCCCATTTGAAGGAGCAGAGTTTCAAGATGGACATTTAGACTCGAAGCCATAAATTAGGAAAAAAAAACATGAACAAGAAAGGGACTTGGAAGCAGCTAGCAAACCATGTTAAGATGTTGTTGTGTTGTCTCTTTCGATTTTCCTGTGACGTTCCCGTGCTTGCTATTAGTAGAAAACCGTAGGACGTTTAGACATTTATCGCCTATGTTACTGCTATAATCGGAGCTATGTCGATCCAATGTAATCTTGTGTTTGTTGAAGTGTTAACACCAATGGTTTGAATGAAGATAATGAACTCTTTTGCATTTAAGCTCTCCACAAATAATGGAGTTTGTGGGGCTTAACCTTTCAAGCACAAGAGCCATCAAGTTGACAGTGTTCCAAAGACCCTTGGTAGAATTTGATGAAGTGGGGAATATTTTTGGTATATAATTAAGAACATAGGCCTTTCGATTTAGACGTTTCGACATTTAAGGCAGGTTTAGACTGACTCGAAGTAACTCGAAGTAGCTTCAATGTCAATATAAGGTAATATACTTTCTCTACGTCATCGTGCATCAATGAAAATGATCTTTTAACTTATTTTCTTTAGTAATTCGATGTATTCTCATCAAGGTAGGTACGTTTTTTAAAATATTGATCGATTATCAATATTTTTATAAATTTAAGATCTCGAACCGTGACGGCGTTAGGATTTAATGATAAACACGCATGTGTATAGCTAAAGTTTGAAACCAATTGTAACCCTTTTTCCATTTGGTTTGAAACATAGAATATTTGTTCATCTTTGGAATAGTGGTTTGAAATCACTTTTTGCCCATTTCCCTTAGGTTTGAAACCGACTCCAGAATTCAACCAGTTCAAACTATCGAACTCAAATCATAAGAATTGGATTGGTTGGTTTAGATTTTTATTTTTCGGTTTGGGTTAGGTTAAAAATTTGAAAAATAAAAAAATTGGGTTCATGGGTTGACATTTTGTTTATCGGGTCAATCCAACACAACACTACTTTTAAGAGATGAAAATAAATATATTTGACTTTTGTAACAGTGGTGCGTAACTTGTAAATATTTGATATTATATTTATTAATGTAATATGTATCGTAAATAAATAATATTTTTTAATAATCTAAAAAAAATAACCCGCAACTGAATCCAATCCAAAAAAAAAAAAAGATTGGGTTCGATTGTGAATTTTATTCGGGTTGTTTGGGTCATTAACCTAACCAACCCGAAATTTCAAGTTAATCCAAAATATTTTTTCAACCCAATTCAACTCAACCGTGCACACCAGGTGTCAGATTATAACTCAACATCATTTTAAACAAATCATGATGTACGAATAAAAAATTAAAATAAATTATGAAATCTACATAATTGTATTTATTGATGAAAAATCTAATTTATATATATTAAGATTAATTATATATTATTTAAACTGTATGTATAATATAGTTTATAAATACACAAAATATAAAAATAGAAATATTTATTGATATTTATATTTTGTTAATATATTTTGAGAAGAGGAAGAGAACATGCGGTGGTCGGAATGCACGCGCCAATGTCGCGTGGTGCTACCTAGTAGCCACTCAATGTCTGAAAGCCCTCACGTGTTTCTCTCCCCCGTCATCACGTGACTTGCCGGGGATTATTTGAATATTTGGACTTCCTTATCCTTCCTCTGGATAGGGATGACCTTCTCCCGTTTTGCAAACATTATATTTCCCTGTTTCAAAATCCTAATTTTTTTCTTATTTTTAATAAATTTTTAATAAAATTAGAGATATTCATTTAACCCATGAAACACCGTTCTTATAAAAAAGTATAGATTAATCCAAAGGAAGTGGGGAGGTTTCACCGTTACCTAATAAGGTTTGAGATAGGGATTATATTATTTGTCAAAACCCTCTTCAGTCTTGTTCGGTGTCACATACTTTTTCAAGCTACAATTCCATCGGGATTGTGACACCGGTTCACTTTTTGTATATATATATATATTTATATATAAATGAAGTCACAAAATTAATTTATTGTGTGTATATATTTATTAAACGTAGAATACTACGTTATATCGCGATGTTTTTTTATATTTTTTAATAAAAATTATTTATTAAAATTTTACTTTTTCTTATGGGTAATGATGCAAAATGTCCCTATGCTGATTTTATAAATAGAAAAAATGCACAAAATATGAATTAAATATTAATTTTGATGAATAAAAAAAAAACTATAAATATAAGAATCTATAAAATAATAATAAAAAAAATCACGCTTTAAAATATTTTATTGTTAAATTGAAAAATTATAAAATTTACTATTAATATTAATTTTTATAAAAAATAGAAAATAAAAAATAAAAGTATAGTAAGCATTAAAGCACCAACAAAATGGGAAGGAAAATTTCAGACAAAAAAATTATTGTTTGATTTTTTTGAGGTAGTTTTGTTTGTCATCACAAATATATAGGAATTTATGTTTTTCTAATTAATGGCAATAAATCTCATCAATTCATATAATTCGTTTTATTTCATTCCTCCTCAATTTGTAAACATAAAAAACATAAAAAAAAAAAAATAATAAAGACGGTTATAACATTAATTAATATATTTGAAATTTAAAAAAAATAGTTTAATTTACTATTTTTTAAAAGTTTTTAAAAACATTTAAAAATGAAATATGAGAGTATTTTTAAAATAAAATCTTAACGTTTACATTTAAAATTAAATTTTAATCCTTTTTTAATAAAAATTTATTCTAATGGAATAATGTAAGGATAATTTTGGTTGAAATAAATAAATAAATAAATAAAAACAATTTTGGAAAAATGGGCTGGGCCTAAATTAACCGTGTAAACATTTTTTTACCCCAGTAAATATCTATTTTTTTTTCACGTAGATATTTATTTTCTTTCTATTTTTTATCCACCCATAAATATTTTAAATAAATTAAAAAAAAACATTTTCCATTAAAATTCTCTGTCTTCTTCATCTCTTCCTCTTTCTTTCTTTCTCTCTCTCTCCTTTGATAGAAAGGGGGACTTGACCTGGAAATGGATTTGAATGCTACTACTCTCTCCACTCTCCGCTTCTGAGATTTCCATTTCCCTCTCATTTCTCCCTTTCAATTCTTCCTTTAACTCCTCCAATTTGCTTCTCCATTCTTGGATTTGCTAGATCTTGTTTCGGATCCGTGGATCTCTGCTACCTTCGGCATTATCTCTTTCTCTCTTGTTGCAGATCCTTTCCGCAGCTTCTTCAATCTCGCGCCTCGAATCGAAGCTCATACGGCTTTGTTTTTCATGAGGTTCTGATCGGCTGCGCGGTTTTCGAGGTGAGTGACTGTGTGTGTGTGTTGGTGTGGTTTTTCTTTGTTTTTGAGCTGCTTGTTGTTGTGGAGGAGGAGATGGAATGGTTGATGAAGACGATGAATCTTGTGGTTTTCTTGTGTTTTGTGAGAGGAAAGTTGAGTGTAGGTTTTATTGTGGTTTCTTTCTTCATTTTTATTGCGGTTGAGTGGAAAGGTAGATGTCTTTTTTTGTGCTTTTATTATGAGATGGATTGATTTTTTGCCGCATGCTTAGTGTACGAATAGATCGAGTTGGAATGGTGTTTTTCATTTGGTATAGATTCTTGAATCTGGATAATGAAACGAGAATGGTGGGATTTTGATTATGGCTTATGGTTGCCTCAATCTGCAAATCGGAGGCGTGCGTGACGTGCTTGGATTTCTTGAGTTCTCTTGGTTGTAATGGAATTTCGTAATGTGATTGATTGACGAGTAAGTTTGGGTTTATTAATATGTGGTTTATGATTAGATGACGAAGTCGGCGGAAAATTTATTCAAATTATTGCCCAAGTCTTTGTTCACGGCTTCTTTGGAAGAACTGGTTGACGATTTTCAAAATTATCCTTTACCACGTGTCCTGGTTCTGGAAATTTGTTGTTCTTTAAATTATTTTGAAACTAACTTGCGGCTATTAAATTCTTTTGATTCAGACATGCTATTTGGTTGTCTCATACATTATGAAGACTATGAAATGGATGAATTCGATTCTATGTTTTCCTTTCAATTGATAATGTATGCAAGTTTAAATATAGATGTACGGCATCGACCTGATGAATAGCAGAATTTATGTAATTGAGAATTCTCGTGTATAAGTATTGCAACGTAATTCTACTTTATGTTATGGATGATATAGCAGAAAAGTATTTCCTCAGTCGTAATGGTCTGGGTTGAAAACTTTTGCAATTCTATTTGATGACTTATATTGCTTGTTTCTTCATATGTATGGTATGGGGCTTATATTTCTATGATCTGTTGCAGTTTACAACAAATGATGGAATCGGAAATCCTTGTACCTGCTGATGGGCTCAAACTGACCCTTCAAAATGGGTTTCATGACCATATTTCTGACAACTCAGAGGACATCGTTGCAAAAGTTATAGTGAGCGAGGGCATAAGCAATGACGTCGGGGCTACAACTCAGCAAGGAAATATGGAAAATGATCTCAAATTGAGTGGCAGTGCAACTAATGATTCAAAGACTAGGGAACTCATGGAGGGATCAAGTTTTCCGGAAGAAAGCAATATATCAATCCTTTCTAAGGCAGCCTAATTTTTTTTCATTTGTTTCTTTGGACGAAGTAGTTAATCTTATTTGACTCTAACAAGTGTACTTTTCATCTTTGATTGTATTCTTTTCAGGAAGGAGGGGAAAAGAATGTTGATCCTTCTAAGCAAGTAAAACCAGAGAAGGGTCAAATCAAGAGCAAAAATGAAAAGTCATCAGGCCCTAAACACATTCATTCGACAGGGGTGATTAAGAATAAACATGGAAAAGATTCGGAACAGACTGCTGCTCTTTTAAATGGTTCTACCTCAGGTACAGGTACAGGTACATCGCATCCACACTCGAAGCAGCATTATAAGAGTAGATCATTCAATGACAGGCAAGCTCAAGTGCCAAAGGTAATAGTTTCTGCATGTTGCCTTATTGCCTCTTCTATGCCATGGAATCTCCACACCCCGGGTTGTAGTTTTGATTATTTCTTCTTCTGATTGATGATTCCCTTCTCATATTCTCTTCATCTGTTTCAAGCAGCAATCTGAGAAGTCTGATGGAGAAGGATCAAAGTATGCTCTGCCTGCTGTTATGTTTATATTATTTCTTCTTGGATGGTTAAATACTGTTTTTTTAAAATCTAATTTGGGATCTATTTGTGCATACATCATGAATGGAGAGAGCTTCAACTCTCCACTAAATTCTTAAAAAAGAATATCAATTAATTCTTTCTTTGACTCCAAATATCACTAAGCTATGACCCTTTGTTACTCAGGGAGAATACGAACTTGAAACCTTTGCAGAAAGGTCATCCTAGTAAGTCAGAAGAAGAATCAGAATCTTCTTTGTATCCTTTGTTTATTATTTACCGTCAGATATATTTTCCTGAAATGAATGTGGTAATATTTAGACATTGCTTCACGGTATTTAGTTTGTTGTTCTTTGTTGTATCCAAGAGTTTATCCTTGAACTATTGATAGAAGTCCAAGAGCAGGGGATGAGAAACCACACAGGATTGGGAGACTTCCTAACTATGGTTTTAGTTTTAGATGCAATGAGCGTGCTGAGAAAAGAAAAGAGGTCTGGTTTGGTATTCATTTCCTTGCACGTTTTTTGTAATTTTACTGCCCTCTTCTCCAACAATATCTGTGTTGATATATATATATATATAGTTATTATTACTATAATTATTTTAACTATATATAATATGGGGCAGTTCTATTCGAAACTTGAGGAAAAGATACAAGCCAAGGAAGTAGAAAAGAATACTTTACAGGCAAAGTCCAAGGTATCACCGTCTCTGCTGTCACTTTAATTTGTTCAGCATTTGATTCATATTACGAGAAAGTTGCTCTGCTACAGGAAACTCAAGAGGCTGAGATTAAAATGTTTAGAAAGAGCTTGAACTTTAAAGCAACTCCCATGCCTAGCTTTTATCAGGAACCACCTCCACCCAAAGTAGAATTGAAAAAGGTAACGTGTTGTTGCGTCTGAAAAAGGGATTGAGTTTGGAGTTAATTAATATTGGTTTCGAACTTTATTGATCCTCTCATGAACTTGTGGAGATGCACAATTTTCTCGTCTTTTTGCTTCTCAGTCTGGATTTTAATTATGGCTCAAGTAGACATTGGGTAAATTTACTTACTGTCCTTTTGTAAAATATCTACTATGGTGTGGACCCTGTAGGGCTTCTGCATGCCAGCTGCCAATCACTTGCTTATCATGTGACTGCGTTCTTAGGGTGGCAATTCAGATGTAATCATTATAGCTTTGTGGCATTTGTAAAGATTTTTTGTAGCATAGCCGTTTAGAAATACATTTGGGCATTTTGATCCATTGCAATTCAACCTTATTGTTCGAAACCTCAATCTTCTATTGGTTAATTAAGTTGATCTTAAGTTGGCAACAACAAATTGACTAATATATTTTGATCCAGATACCACCTACAAGAGCCAAGTCTCCCAAGCTTGGCCGAAAGAAGGGTTTGAGCCCGGCAGACACTTCGAGTAATGATGGTGGTGATTTTCGATCAGTTCGCTTAAGCCTTGATGAGAATGCGGCTCTGATTAATAATTCCAAGGGGGTCTCTCCTGCTCGTTCAGAGAAGCCTAAACGCAGGTCTCTTCCTAGACTGCCTTCTGAGAAAAGTGCACTATCTGGTGTCATAGCACATGCAGGAAAATCCTCTGCAATTAAGGTGAAAAATGCAGAGAAGCCTGCTGCTGCTGCAGCATCTACAATTGGAAAGAAAGAAGAAAAACGTGCATCAGAGAAGCCTGCGAGTTTACAAATGGTAGACGAAGAGAAAATTGCTCCCTCGGACACGACAAACAAAGTAGTAGCCTCTCTTAGCCAGGAAGAGAACGGAGTTGCAACAGCTGAGCCCAGTGAAACAGGGATCAATTCGGACGAAGAGGAGGCAGAGAATGAAGAAGAATATCATCAGCATCAGACGTCGGTGGAAGAAGCTGTAGAATTGGAGCAGCCATCAAGCATTTAAAGCAGCAGACACAGCCACAGCCAAGGGCGTGATGCCATTTTGGAAATGGAACAAAAAAAATGGTATGAGACCTGATGACTTACTTGGGCATTAAGAACTGAAAGAATGAATATTTGGGTTGTGATTGTTATTGTATTATTATCGTGTCTTCTTCTGTCAATAGCAGCAATTAGTTCTCTCACTTGTGTGCTTCCTTCCATTCACGGTTGCTGGTTGCGTCACTTTTCAAAACCACTTCCCATCATTGTATGTAACTTCTCTCGTCAACTTTCCTTTTTGATCTAATTTATGTTTCTGCCTCTTTTTTTTCGTTACTTGGAGAAACCCTTTGGAAATCAACACCCTACAAAATGATTGTGATTTCTTCTTATATTCTTTTTTTTTTTTTTTTTTTTTTTTTTTTTTTTTTTTTTTTTTTTTTTTTT